TATGAACTGGTTAGGGAACTTCTTTAATTTATTCAATTTTATTAGCATAATTAGTTTGACTTAAATTCAACTCTATCATTGATTTTTTTTACTGTTACATATTAGTTATGTTTATTTATTTATTTATTTCACTACCATACATTAACTTCAGTTAAGAATGCTGAAATATATCTCATTAAGTATTCCATTACAGCATTCGTTTATTAAACTACTGAGTTGTTCAGAAAGTACTCTTTTTTTGATGAAAATGAAAGACGATTTTCTTATATTGAATAAATGTTCTTTTGAATTATACATTGTCCATTCTGGCCCAATACCTTTTGTCCTCTTTCTGGCAATAGCATGATTCCACACTTATAAAAGATTTTTTTCTTTGTTGGCAAAAAACTGATCAAGCTTATTTTTGACGTAAATTTTTTACCGATTAAAAAAATTTATAGAAACCGGAACATTTTTTGAGAAAACCCATTCTTTGTCATCAATGCCGATGCACTTCAAAAATAGATACTAAATAAATAGATAATAAATAGAAAAATAGATAAAAGCAAATTACAGACGTCAAACACGACGACACAAATTTCTTTCCGTAAGAACATGAGGAACCCATATAACAAGCTTTGAGATTATACCTTAGGCTTTTCTAATGATCACGAACAGCCGAAATCGGTAGATTTAATGTCTAAACGATCTACCCAGTTGTTTTTTGCCGGTTTGCATCAATTAATGCCTTTATTGCATCTTTATTAGCATAAACTGGCGTGGTTCTTCATCGTGCATCTTAATCGAAATTTTACCGAATCGAAATTTCGTAAACCAGTTTTAACTCTACCATACTACGATTATATCTTCTCAATACACATTTAATAATTTTTTTCTTGCATTTTCATCTTTTCGATCGTAAAAAAATAAAATGTTTCGAAAATGCTGCTTTTCATTTTCTATACTTGAAAGGGCACCAACCAAAAATTACTGCGTAGAGGAATCGAAATTTTTCATAAGCAAGCCTTGCTATATAAGCTGTCAAAAAATATAATGACTATGCTGAAGTGTGAAGTTGGTTGTGAAAAAATATAATTAAGTCTTTTGCTTGGAACAAAAATGAAATTACTTTCCGTACAACCCAATATTTACAAAAAAATAAATACTAACTAAATAAAGCTAAACAGCGTAAATAAAGCACAAAATAATGGCTCGACAACCAACTGCTGTCAGCCTTTGCAAAACAATGTGTATAAACATTGTTTTGCTTCATTCATACGTCAAAGTATATCCTTTCTTCATTTGAGTATTTACGAAAAGGTATCAAACAATAACAATAATTTTTCCTAGTAATATGGTTTTTGACGAAAAGTAACAGTTTTAAGTAACAGTTCAAGAGGGACGGTAAAATTGAAATATAATTTCAGATCTTTTAAACTTTTGAAAAATAAATATGCAATAAATTTATGACATAATTAAAATATGTATAATCACGGATAAATAATTCTCAAATAATTATGGAGCTGTGCTTTATTTTACAACGAATATGGGCTTTAGAATATTTTCGTTTTACTACTATTATAAATTATTTTTTAAAAATTGTATTTTTAATGCTTATCTATACATATACATGCATACATATATATATATTATTATATATATATTGTCACTTNATATATATATATATGTATGTATATAATGTGCATGAAAAAAATTAAGAATTCTGCGATTTGATTAGTAAACTGTAATGGACAATTTATGAGAGCAAGCCGATTTTAAGATTATGTAAACTATTACCTATTGGACAATCATTTTTTTTTCTGGTCAGAAACGTTAATGAATTCATTTTTCTTATCAATTTTTTCTATAGTAATTTAGTTTCAAAACGAAGTAGAAAATTTCCTGTTATCCGCTTAAGTTGAAATTTAAAAAAAACAAAAAAACAATAGCTACTCCTTGAAACAAAGAACTGAAATTCTTGTCCTATTTTACTGTTTCTTTAAGAAACATTTAAATATCGACTATTTTAATAAGTATGTTTATAGCCTTGTGTTTTACCAGTCAATGATACTTCCTGTATGCAGACGTATAAGGTCATAGGAAAATGGCTTTGAGGCATATCACGAAACTTACAATAAATGATACTTTCTTTTTTGCAGGAAGCATGCAAAGAATTTGATTTACAAAAAGACCAGCTGTTTGGCCTCTAGATGTTCTAGTTCCTCATATGTTAATATTGAACTCCGGATTGACATAAGCAATTAATTATTCTTCATTTTAATTAATTATATTAAGAACAAAATTTAGGCCACTTCGATAGATGAATTTTATTTTACTTGTTAGATGATTCGATATTATTTTTTAGGAGAAAAATATTAAGTCAAAAACTTTTTTTGTTCGTATAAAGCATCTTAAAACTCTTATATCCATTAGAAAAGCTCTCTATAGAAATACATCTCTATTAACTGTTTCTTATTCATAAAATAGCGAAAGTAATCCTTTGTGAATAAAATTAAATTTCATCAAATTCATTCCATTTGTGATTTTTAAACGTTGTGTATAATGAAATTTTAGTTCATCAGTGTTGATTTTATAAAGGGTTCTATAAAGGGTAGTATTTGATTTGATTTAATATTCTATATGTTCTATATTGATTTGAGTTTTATTGACAAATGATCAGAAGTCGAGCAATGCTAATCTCTGTAAGGTATATTATCACAGAAAGGGATCAAATTAACATTTTATTATTCTAGTTAGCATTACCGTAAAAAAAAAAACAACTTTAAATTGAATGGGTGTTTCAATTTAAGCTTCTGGGGAGAAATATATTTATGTCGATGTTATGTACAATCGAAGACAAATTTTAAATTCGAAATGACTCAGAAAAGCTTTAATAAATAACATTATTTTTTTCTAATTTATAACGATAATATTAATATTGCAATTTAGTACCTTTAAAAATACACTATAGGAATCATGATCCTGTGAGCTTCAAAAATTATAAAATATGCTACACAGAAATTAAATAAATAAATAAATATATAAATAAAATAAGTGGTGTATAAGTAGTTTGATAATATTCTAACTTGATTTCATTTCGCTTGAAGCAGTTTGAAATAAGTTATTTGAATTCAGAGAACGTGCCAATGTCACAAGATAAAGAAATCCTATATTTTTTTCTTTTTTTTAAATTATCGTCTGCCAGATTTTCCAGATAGGAAAAATAATACATTTTTACTAAGCGGATTTGTGTGAATGTTTGGATCTTCTTGACTATTTTTTTATATCTAACTACATGTATTTTTTATTCAATACAGCAGATAAAAAAATTATATCAAATAATAGAAAATATATTAAAAATATATTAAAGCAATAATAATAATAATAAAAACACTGAATAACTTATGACCTAATGGTCGGAAGTACACGCAGTGAAAAAAAGGTGCACTTTTCATGTTTCAAGGAGAAATTTCTTAAATACTTTATAATTTGCTTATAATCAATGATTTTGGTATATCAAGTAAATAAAAGAAAGAAAAGAAAGACTAAAGAATGTAAGGAAAGCGATGAACCATTGAATACATGAATTAATGATTTTGATTTTATTTAAATAGGAATTGAAGCAAACGAAATAAACGAAATAATTTTAATGGTAGTTGATGTTATTACTTATGCCACTTGCCAATATCAGCAAGTCAGTTCGAAACCAAGTGCATTTTTAAGGCAGAGGGTGCGTTCCTTGTTTTTAAGTGGTACCATCTATGACTAAGAATAAGATTTCAGTCACCCACACGTCACAGCTCGTTTTATAGAGAGGACCTATTCATGTATCATTCATTCATCCACAGATCGCAATTTTGACCTGAACCTGAGAACTATCCATCTCCAATTCAGTACCCTCAGAGGTATTGATTTGTTAGGGGAACTTTGTGACCCCGACAGATTTAACGGCACCAGTCACCTTTTGATACACGGGGATTCCTCGGCTGGCGGGATTCGAAATCACGAGCTCACGAACATGAGCCCAACGTCCTACCAACCAGCCTATCCCGGCCCAAATCAATGATTGCATATAGCTAAGATGATACTTATTTTCATTAGATCCCCAAAGAGAAAAAAAACGCGAAGAGTCTTCCGTTTAGTGAAGTAATGATTTGTTAGTAATGGAATTTGATAAATCAATCTGCTCCATACTTTCTATGTTGAAGGCTTTAATTGAACCAAATTTCCCATTTCTAAAACCAAAGAAGGAGAAAGTTCCTAAAATGATGCAGTCTTAACAAGTAGCAGTTAAAAAAGTCACATTTGAATTTTGTAACAGGTAATATTATGTTCCCTTAATATTTTATAGGTCTATAGCAGGGGTGGCGAACCTTTATGCATCAACGNAATTTAGTTTAGTGAAAACTATTAGGAGCTCTCGAACATGAGCCCAACGTACTACCAACCAGCCTATCCCGGCCCCCTTTAATGGTAGTAAGGTAAAAAGTTATGGATTGTAGTGAAAAATACTACTTATCAGTTCGAAAGTGACTCAGAATTCAATTTCAATTTTTAAAAAGGATGTAGAGGGTATTCATGAAGTTTCTAATATATTCTTAAGTGTTCACATGATGTTCACATGAACTTGTGGAAATTACTAAAAGATTTGAAATATATATTTCAATTTATGATATCATGGATATTGAACATCCGCAAGGAAATTCACTTGACAAGGAAATGTATGAGAACATCTAACCGGATGCACAAACTCCGTTGTACCTTGTAGAAGATTCTATTTAAATACGAAATATTTTTTTTTAAAAAAAAAGAGAGAAAAGGAATACTAGATACTTATCATTTTAAATTAGGAAGTCTGAATTATAATATACGTAAAACAACAAGCTTCTTCCTAACGATGTATTTTACATTCCATATTTTATAAAGCAATTAATTGAGTTTTAAATTAAATTTAACCATGATTATACCAAAAACTTTTTCATGATATTATAAAAATAACTGAAATCTTTTTTCTATTTCAGGTCAACTTATTGTTTACACATTTTGTTGGTAGGTTGTGCTTTATATGCAATATCGAAAGCGTATCCAACAGGAGCACCGCAAGAAACTTGCAAAATATTCACTGCTAGCCACACAGGTCATACAGCTCAAAATAGTCAATCAACATATACCATAACAGCTAGCCCATCAACTGTGGCTTCTGGAGGAACTATCACAGGTATAAATATTTTAATATTAAATGATACCACCATAAATCAAAAATAAAGAATTAAATTTTTTTATTGATACTCTCTGCTGAGTTACACAATTTTATTAAGAAGTTAACATTAACTTAACTTAAAAATTGAGTTCATCATCAGGAACACCATTTTGAAACATCAAAAAAAGAGTTGCTCGTTATCAATAAATGCCACGTGTAAATGCAACATTATGAAAAGCTTTTTTGCCCCAGTAAAAAAAATTTGACTATTTTTTTTTGTTCTTATAATAAATAATATGTTTAGGTAGATTCATAGATTATATTTCGGTACAGTTGTGTTCCTTCAATATATGATTTAGTTCCTTTTATATGATTCATTCGTTCCTTTTATATGATTTATTACATGATTTAGTCGTCTTTTGAGTTAAGACTTAAAATTGTAACGAGTGTAAAAAGTTTTGAGTTAGACAAGCTTCAATCCGTTTTATTTCACTCGTCTTTATTTTATTTTAGTTAAGGAAAGAAAAATCATTACCTTTTCAATAATAAGAGGAATAAAAGCTAAGTTGAAATAGAATTAAAATTTGAGAAAAAAACATGCGCGAAAAATAATTTCGAATATTGATAAATTTTTTTAAAAAGTTTAATAAATCAAGTCAATAAAAATTAAAAGTGATAATAAAGTGATAATAACATTATAAATACACAAATAATAAAATGTTCAATAATTAATCATTACTGGGTAATTAAGTCATTTGAAGATGCATTAATTATCAATTCCTAATGTATTATCAACTGTATTTAATTTTTTTTTTCGAATTGATACTCAATTTTTCTTTGGCATATTGCAATTTTTATTACCACAAAGAGGGGTAATTTTATAATCTTGAAATTCGTAATCTATTTTATGACATCTTGAAAAGTTTCAGAACAAAACGATAAATATAACAATCTTCTTCGAATTAAGGAAACAATTTTCTCGGCTATTATTTAGTTCAAGTATTTGTCAGGGTGCCGAAAATCATATTTTAAAAAATAACGAAGTTGCTTCAGTGCACAAAAAACGTTCCGCCTTACACTGATTCTCTTATACCTATAAGTGAGAAAATCTTAAAACTTGAGACCTCCATTACTACCTACGATAAATATAACAATCTTCTCCGAATTGAGGAAACAATTTTCTCGGCTATTATTTAGTTTAAGCATTTGTCAATGTGCCGAAAATCATTATTTAAAAAATAGCGAAGTTGCTTCAGTGTACAAGAAACGTTCCGGTTTACACTCATTCTCTTATATCTATGAGTGAGAAAATCTTAAAACTTGAGACCTCCATTTCCTATAAACATAAACTTCTTTTGCTGAACTTTTAATAAAAATCGAAGTGATTAACGATGGGTAGAAAACAATTATAATTTCATCGCAATTGGACTTTTTTAATTTTAGAGCATATTGTACAATAATATCGTTCAAATTTACTGCAGCTTTAATATGGGCTATATGTTCAACTGAATCATAGTATTTCTCAAGTTTTATAGTCCGATATTATAGTTCAACTTGAACGGAAACTTGGCTTAAAATTAATTTATTAAAGTTACAAAAAATTTTCATCGTATTAAGGTTCAGATAATCAAGATTATGTATCAAAGTTGAACTGAGCTTTGTTACGGTTTAAGTAAAGTGTTCTCACAACATCCCGTTGTGGGCCAGGAGGGTCATGAAAGTCAAGGCTTCGCAATTTTGTGATCATGATGGGGATAGCAATGTGGTCAGCATTGCGCACTGCCCGCCTTTGCTTCCCAGACAAACTAGTACCCATTGATCTGAAGATGGGTAGGTCTCAATCAGGGTCACCGGGAACAAAACCAAGAATTTTTACTTCAGAATTTTTGAAAAATCAAGAAAAAATTCAATCGATTTCAAAAAATCAATCCATTCTACTTGATGGTATTTTTAAAAATAAAATAATTTATTAAACTCCTTAAAATCCTTGAAATGTAATAATCAAAGCGTAAAAGGTTTTCTTTCCCTTAAAAATATTTTTCTATTTTCTTAACTTTAAATTCAATTGTCTCTTATGCTCTTACATGCTTTTCCCATGTAACGGGAAAAATAATAGCAGTAAAATTATCTATATATTTTTTTGCAGCCATGTACTTCTAAAACTGAAGATCAAAACAAAAGAAAAAAAACTGAAGATCTTTTTTTCAAATTTACTTCGGAGTTCGGAGTTATTAAATTTTAAAATTTTGCAAATTTTTTATACAAACCCTAAAGGTTAATAAAAAAATACATATTTTTTCCCGTCATTTGGGTAGAATTATCACCATACTCTTTCCTTTTATTATAAAAAATGATTATTGCAATTAGGGGGTTCGATGTTAGTATAGACTAACATCGAGAATTTTTCGAATGCGCATCTGTTTCTAAGATAACGGTAACGTTCCCCTAGTCTCAATGATGACACATGTTGTGCCGTTAGATTATCCTTTCTTTCTTTCTTTTATTCATTTTCATAGAACTATGTTTAATTTCAATCTTTACGATTTCAATTTTTAAACATGCATTTGTTATTTGAAATTTTCCAAGTTGAATTTGATAATCTTTGAATCGATAAAATTAAGAGAGTAAATTTAGCTTTTACACTTTTTCGATCTGAGTTACCATTTTGGCATTTCAATTTGAAATTTTATTTCTTATTTTGCACTAATGAAGTTTTAATTTCATTTTCTTTCAGGCTGTATTTAATATTTTAAACCTAAATAATGTCTAAGAAAAAATAAAGGAATAAATAAATGAAAAACAAATCCAAATAACGTTTTTTTTTTCTTCTGAACATATGCACGTAATTAGAATTTTATTTAAAACTTTTTACCATTTGTATGTTTTTTTAGTTTTAAGACCAATGAAATGCGCGAGTGACGTGATCTGAAAAAAAAGAGAAAAAAAAATCTCGCAAACAGTACGAGAGTTGACGATATAACGAGCTGGAGGCGTAACCTTTAATGTAGTTTAATTAAGACAACATTAGTTTTTGGCTTATTTTATGCGAAAGTAAAAGGATTTTTTTTTTTTTGCTGCATAATTTAGTTTAGTGAAAACTATTAGTTTCAGAGCTCATACTTTTTTCAGCCTCATACTCGTTACCACGTTGTACATTGTTCAACTTTTTAATTTGTTTTGGTTGTTGTTGTTGTTGTTCAGTTACGTCGCACTAGAGCTGCACAATGGGCTATTGGCGACTGTCTGGGAAACATCCCTGTTTTGATCCTCTGCATAGGGGATGGCACCCCCTCTTAGGTAGNGCTTCGGTAGCCCGACGACCTGCACGCGAAGTCGAGCACTTTACGATAGAACAGTTTAACGAGGACCAATACCGCACACCCTCGGTCCCTACGCAGGCTGATCCAAGTGGTCACCCACCCGCACACTGACCGTAGCCAGTGATGCTTGACTTCAGTGATCTGCTGGGAACCGTTACTTAACGATCAGTCCACTGCGGGACTAATTTGTTTTGTAACAATTGAATTGTAAAGTGGCGTTTTTATGCGTAAGCAGTTTTCAGCGATTGCCGAGTGATAGCGAGCAGGGATTGAAACCTCTAATATAATTAATATATAAATTAAAAGATATTTGAAATCCTTAGAAAAGCAAAACAGAAACCGATTAATCTGGAAATAAAAATAATAAAAATAATAAATGGAAATAGATTGGTCATGTTATACGTAAACCTGAAAAATTTAAAGTAAAGGAAGTCTTTGATAGGAACCCTCATGGCAATAGAAGAAGAGGAAGACCTAAAAATACTTGGTGCAGAACGGTTGTAAACGCATTGAAAACAATAGGAAAGACATGGAAAGAGGCAAAATATCTGGCCACAAATAGAGTGAGATGGAAAGCTATAATAGAAGTCCTATGCTCCGATTTGGAGCAGAAAGGAATATGTGTATGTAAGTTAAAAGATATTTAAGCATAAAAGCTAAAGCATCAAACATAGCCAAGATGGAAAAGGCAAGGGAAGCGATTTGAAATAAACTGCGTAGGCAGTTGGTGAACGATATCGAGCAGAGTGTGGTGACCTCCTATTTATAGTAGAATGTATGAATATTTAATATAAATTTTTTTAAAGAAGTTAATTATGTCAAATAGCATTTTTTGGAAATTATATTAAAAATGATAAAATAAAATATGATGTTTATGAAACATATTTTCATTCTTTATTTATTGAACATTGTACAATTATATTTGCATTAGTTTATATATTTATATTTTCATTACATAATATGTATTTTCATTAGCATAAAATTAATTTTTATGATTTAATTTTAAATGAAAATATACTAATTTTAACAATGCATGTAAAAGTCATCAGTGGTGGAGGCTCCGGGGAAATAGTTTGTAAAAACGAGTGCAGCGAAGTCAAATTACGAAACGAGCTAAAAAGAACTACATAAAATATGCAGATTTAAGAATTAGCAAGAAACAATAAGCAGGAGGCCGAGCTCTTTGGTAAATAACATAATTGTATTCGAATAGTGGTACATTCCATTCTTTTATGTAACGTAATAAAAATCATTAATGATAAAAATTGACCCACTTGTAACTTATGAGGGACTATTGTTGAAATAATGTTTTCGTATGCTTTTAGTTACCCTTCAAGGTAATGGTGAACCATTTAAAGGCTTCTTTATCCAAGGACAAGACAAAAATTCCAAGAAACCAGTTGGAAAATTCCTAAAACAGTCTGAAGCTCAAACCAGAGATTGCTCCGGAACAGGATCACAAGTAAGGAAAAAATAAAATTCCATATCATTTTTAATTTATAATTTTGTGTTATAAGCTATTTTTCCAACAAAAAAAAGAGGGAATATCATCAGTTTAGTGTAGATAAAAAAATTTATTAAATAAGGGAAAAATTTATTCTTCTTGTTTTTAGTGGGCTTTCGTATCTAAGTATATTACACTATTAAAAGTGCTGATACAAATAGTGTTATTGACACTTCTCTATTAATGAGCAACAGAATTTTTTAAAAAAGTAACGCTTATGGCTCTATTTAACACACACACACACATAAATATAATAATTTTTCGGTTGACTTATTCCAAAATTATAAGTTGTTGCTTCTAATGCCAATACCAACAAGCCTGCTTGGTGAAATCAACGAATTTAAAGCAGAGGGTAAGTTTCTTGTTATTCAGTGACGCCATCTATAAGCAAGAATACGACTGTCATCCATACACACGTCACAGCCCGTTTATAAGGTGGACCCAATCATACATCCACAGATCATAATTTTAACACGAACCAGGGAACGATGAATCTCAAATTCAGTAACCCCAGAGGTATGATTTGTTATCCGAATATGGAGGGGTTTGTGATCCAAAAGATTTAACGTGCACCAGCTACCGTTTGTTACACGGTGACAACTCACGTCTTCAGGCAGAACTCACGATCTTTTGGACATGAGCTCAACGCCCTACCAACCAGGCTATCCCGGCCACTTATAAGTTGTTCATTCAAACACATAGATAACACGAGATTTTTTTTTTCATTTTGTGAAGTAGTTAAATGTTAACCGACATTATAGCTATCCATAACAAAAATCTTTGTCTTAATCTTATTCAATATCAAAGGCATTTTTTCGCATCTTGATAGGGTGTAAAGAGATTTTTTCCTCACACGGAAGCAGACAGAAATTACTAAGACCGATCGAATCTTGTTCTTGGCTACAATAATTGAGGGAATGAATAATGATTGATGAGTAAAAGGCGCTGCCCATTGCGCGATGTCTATTGTTCCTTGCAAAGAAAACCTAATATCATAATTATCGATAAAATGAGTTATGGAAACTTTTTGTAAAACTGCATGTATCGTTTCGTTGCTTGATAATTTTATCAAAATAAACAACAACAACAAAAAAAACGGAAGTATTTCTTACTCATTTTAAATTGCGGAATTTTGTAATTTTCCTTTTCGCCTAAAATAAATAAATAAACAGTGTATTAGCATATTCTTTTTACCATACCTATTGGGTGCTTCTGTGCCCCGAGAATAGATTAACCTCTTTCACGTCACGCCTAATCACTCGACCACAAGATCGTTTACAATTTGAGTTACATTCACATACACACAGAGGAAAGAACGTCGTTCCCTCTGATACAGAATTCAAATCCTACCCCTCATTACCTCATTGTACAAACATTTTATGCCTCGGACTTTTAATCTAAATCAAAAGCTTTCTAAAACCAGAATGCAAAATGTTATTTTTAATTTAAAAAACAATTATTTCATGACAATATACTGAAATTTTTTTTAATTGTATCATTTTTCTTTCATTTAGGATGCTGCAACACACGTAAACGCTAATAATAAGAGCAAAATTCTTCTTCAATGGCAAGCTCCATCAGATTACAAAGGAACTGTGGTGTTTAGGTAAATGATTTCTTTTTCGAAGAAGAAAAATGCTTTTAATGCGTATTATTCTTCCATTCTTTTTAATTTGTAGGCAAAGTAAATACTAATATACTCTGAGTTGAAAGTGAAGAGGGCAATTTATGGGTTCTTTTCTACTTAGAAAAATCTTTTGAGCTGCCTCACAATTTGCAAGAGATCAAAATTCAATGTAGTGCATGTTCAGCTCACAGGACAAAATATTGATAATTTAAAATTCCATGGAACTCCCCCTCCTGATTAATTCATAATCGCCTGGATTGGGTTAGGAATTGAGTTCACTGCATTTTGTAGATACATTCAGTATATGCCACTCGCTACGGATTCCATCACATAAATTCAATTAAAAATTCGAGTGTTCTACTTTCGGCATTTTACCTGCTATTCCATTATGTCCCGTATATTTTTATAGGGTTCATGCAACACCTCCTAGAAGAGAGAAGACCTCTGCATGATTTATTATAAATGAGTTTTCTAATCATTTAGTATCCCAAACGTAGTGACATCTTTCTTATATCCACTCACTGCGCAGTTTATGTTTGTTACGTTTGACCACTGAATTGATATTTGTTGAAGCCCTCTTCTAGGAAGTGTTGGTTGGAGCCATATGATTTTGCTGGTTAATCGAAATGTAATAAGGTGAATAAGTGTTCATAAAATCAGTCACATATTTTTCTAACCCGCTGAGTTTAGCTATTGTCATCTTGAGAAATAGTGGTATAAGTTGCACGTATCATACATGTAGATGGTTTTTCTTCTTTTTTTTTCTAATGCCAGGCACTAAACTCTCGTTCCTTGCCTTGGAAGTGTAGCTCATTTAACGTTTACCGGGTGGGCACCTGTGAACCTTAGTCACGGAGTCGAGCCATATTACCCATGCCACATTTTTACAGAGAAACCCTTCATAGAGTGAGCCACATTCACCCAAAAGAAGAGAACACATAGAAAAAAAAAAACATCCATGCTCTGACCGGGATTCGAAGTCGATATTGAGTAGTTATTAAAACAATATCACTCTCACTTTTACTTTCACATTCAAATCCCAATTTTTATATCTATTTATTTTTTACGCTCAGTAATTGAGGCAATCGTTAAAAAAAAAGAATATGGGAATTTTATAATCGAAATTAGAGGGAGCTTTAAGTTGGTATTTTAGGTTAGTTTTGATTGTATACATGCTCGACCAGGCATATAAAAGTAAAAGGTTCAATGCGTAAACTTAAAAAAAAAAAAAAAAAAAAAAAAAAAAAAAAAAANTACAATGCGCAAAAAAAAAAAAAAAAACGGATCACTCTGAATAACTTTTGATCGAACAATCGGATCTTCGCGTTCTAGGACACAATCTCATTGGTTTGAAGGGGTGACCTCAAATATGCTAATTAATTAGTGGAGATAATATTTTAAGTTACGAAATTTTTCACAAAAACGCCTATTCTGTGAATAAACATAACTTTTTTTCGAAGAATTCAGATTTTTGACCCCCAAAATGTAGGGGTTAGCCGCAATCTGGGAAATACGGTCCCCTAAGTTTGATCAGGAGAGCAGTCCAAAGTTTGGACCCCTTGATTAATTTTATTTTTGCGTATTTCGCCATATCTCAAGAATTTTTTAGATTAATTGAAATATTTTTGCACACAACTATGAAATTTGTTTATTCAAATAGAATTCCACAGAAATATAACTTTTAGAAAATATTTATTCTTTTTTATTATTTTGTTTAATAATGGGTGAAAAATTTTGTGTTGTAAGGAATGCAATTTTTATATAATTTTTAAAGATGTAATTTTACATGGCAAAATGCAAAATTTGAACAGAATTGGTCGAATGGTTCTTGAAAAATCAAATTTTAACTGTACGGCATTTTGCCATACTGTATTTTGCCATGTAAAATTGCATCCTTTAAAATGACTTTACCATTCGAAATTGTTTCGACCATTATTAACTAAGATGATAAAAAATAATAAATATTTGCTGAAATTTATATTTTTCGTGATATTATCGTTAGATAAACACATTTCATAGTTGTGAGCAAAAATTTTTCAGTTCGATTAAAAAGTTCTCGATATATGGTGAAATGCGCAAAAAATAAAATTAAAATTAAGGGGTCCAAACTTTGAACTGCTCTCTTGACCGAACTATGTGAACCATATTTCTCAAATGGTGACTACCCCTATAGCTTGGGAGTCAGAAATTCGAATCCGTCGAAGAAAAAAAGATATGTTTATTCAGAGAAAGTATGTTTTTGTGTCTGATTTCGTAACTTAAAATATCGTCTGCACTAATTAATTTGCATATTTGAGGTCCCCCCCTTCTCGAGCCATTAAGATTGAGTCCTAGAACGTGAAAATCCGATCATTGGATCAAAAGTTATTCTAGGTGGTCCATTTTTTTTATTTTGCGCACTGTACATGTCCTATCTGAATTTTTACCTGCCCGGACATGTCTGGCAGTATAACTCTCGAACCCTGTTATGTACACTAACAAATTTATGAACTCTTCACACTGAAAATTTGCAGTAAAATTCTATTGTAATAGGACTGAAACATGTCTCCTACAATTTATTTCAAAACGTATACTTACAATAAGTTGTAATTAAATTAATTGATTTTTTCCCTCTTAAATTGATGTTTGCAGCATGTGCCATCATTATTTGTGAAAATTTTATTTTTTATAAATTTTTCATTAAAACTTCTCATTTCTCCTAGTTGTTCCCATACATTTTCAAAAAGCTATTTTAAAATCTAAATTGAATTTATAAGGAAAATAATAACAAGAATATGTGTTTTTACAAATCATCAAGTATTACGAAGATATTGATTTAAGCGATAGTCAGAATTAACTAATTGGTTTCCGATTTAGATGAAAATTAATTTATTTTCTAAATAGTTAACTTTTTTACTCAGTTCTGATATTTTCTACGTTTTCCATGGAAAGTGGTAATTATTTTAAACAATTAATTCTTTATTAGTATAAAATTATTGAATCACACAGTATTTCTAAATAAAACGGGAAGACAGTGAAAATATAATTAAAATTGAATAACTATCATTTACAATAAAAAATTTATATTAAGAAATCAAATAAAAAATATTTCATGATATAATTTACAGTATTAGTTTATAAATATTCAGTTCAAGAAAAATAAAATGTTCCTTATCTCATACTTAAAAGTTTAAGAATAAATGATCCGAAAGAATAAATGTTTCTAGAATTTAATTCACAAGTGAAAACTTCAAAAGATTTAACAAGAATAATTGTTTTGATAGGTAGTTACACATATCCCCTTAATATATTGTTATTACTTTAGATTTTTTCATTTAGATCCGTTGTTTTTTACTTTCAGATCCGTTGTTGTGAAAACTTACGAACTCTTCTGGAACAACGTCTATAGCAGCCCTATAACAGTGGCTTAAGCTTAAAATTTCTGTAACAGGTGGCTGGAAAAAGCTGTTTCCAAAAGAAACTAAAGGCAGAAATCACAAATGTAATATGATATATATAACAACTTCAAAGTTCAGAAACAATTACATTCTTATAAATCAATTGGTTTAAATTTATTGGAAGCTTTGTAAGCAATGTTCCGTTCTTCCGTGTCAAATTTACAACAGAAATAAAAATTTTATATTTTTGTAAAAAATTACTGTATTACTGTCAATCTTTCAATTTCTTTACACACACTTGAATACATCAAATATATATTCCTGATTAATGCATAATCGCCTG